AGCTGTTAAACACAGAAAAGGCATGGGATTTGAAGAAAGATCTGTACTGTCTTGCTGTAATCCCTTGATATTAGAGGGAATCTTTCTTGCCAATTTTTACTCTCACATGAGAGGGTAACTAGTCCAACAGTTTCATCAGATGTGCTAAGAGGCCTACTTGAATGGCAACTTACTATGCCAAAATAAACCACAGTTAGAGTTGGCTTATTTGAATCAATGGCACTTATTGGAGGAGTTGACTCACTAAATCCCAATGATTCAATGGGCTTACTCTAGTACAACTTACTACACTAAGCGATAGGATTTTGGCCATAGAATTGCTGTCCAGTTTGACATTTAAAAGGCAGTTGTACTCTGCACACCAGCACTAGATTAAGGATGCAGAAGAGCTTACCATATCAAACCTGTTTTCAGAGAAGTGTCTGAAATACACAAACAGGTTTTCAAATATTGATTGGAGAACCAAGGGCAAAAAAGGAAGAAAAATGTCTCCATTTGTTATGCAAGTAGCTGAGTAGTTAAACCAGTTACATAAAATGGGGTGGAAGTACAAGGAAGATGAGAAAGAGATACATGTATATTAGTTAATTTGCCTTTGCTGAACAGAGAACATAACGAGCAGTCGTCAAACTGGACAGACTCACAAAAAGAGAGCTCATAAGGCTGCATCGGCCAAGTAAAGAATCCAGGTGTCACTTTAGTATAAACAAGGAAAACATGCCCGTTCCTGCTTGGTGGTACTACATGGTGGCCCTACTGGGGCATTGCAATGTAGATGCACTTTGTGTCCAAGCACAGGAAGTGTTCCAGCCCCTCCCCTTCCATGGCCATTGTTGCTCTCTTCCTATATGTGGAGGGCAATGCGTCTGAACAGAAGAACAGAACAGTGTCTTGAACAGGGGCTCTTCAAGTGAATTAGTACCCCATTTTCCCCGGGTGTCTAAATTCGTGTGGGGACTCCCTACGGACATAGCAGAGCTGCAGTGAGAATTCTGGGAGCTGTGGTCCTAAAAGCACAGATGTGTGCATCTGTATTATTTAGCAAGTCTACTTATACCTTGTACAGCCAGTGCAAATCTTGCTTTAAACATGACTTTTAAAGTATCTGGTACAAAAAAGCTGTCCAGGTTTGAGCTTAAAAGAGATGAACAATTACGTCATCTGTTGAAGTTTAAATATAATTATGTGATTCTTTCAGCTACATTGGAATGCTTAGGAAACAATCTTGCTTCTCAGCTCGTGAGTTATCGCTCCTCTCTGCTTCTCTCTATCAAGCAAGCAACTACATGCAATTATAAAGTTACCGTTTCCAAATAGTGGAGTAATCCTTTTTTCATCCACTAGTCGAACAGCTTGCAAATATTATACAGCTAAGAAAGATTTGTACAGAAAATCCTGCTAAATCAAGACAGATCTGACTGATTAAAACTTTACTCATCAAGACATTTGTAATACATTGCCACGTGAGGAAGGAGTCTTTAAAGCTCAGGCTACAAATCTGTTCAGATTTATAGGAATAATCATGAACCTTCTTGGGAATGGACCAAATGGAAAACACAAAACATGTTGGGTGCTCTCTTCACCTTGGTATGGAACATTATTTCAGCTGTAATATTATATTATTATGCAGCAGAGCAAATCAACGTTCAACAAGGAAATTCAAAAAATGGGGCTGGCCCAAACAAAAATTATTATGGTGAAACTGGACTTTGGATAAGCACCACATTTGGCACAGATGTAGTAGACAGTCTGTTCCTGCTCTGCACTAAATTTTAGAAAGCTTGAGCAAAGGATATTTGAGTTATGATTTTTTAAAGCAGTCTGTTCCTGCTCTGCGCTAAATTTTAGAAAGCTTCAGCAAAGGATATTGAGTTATGATGTTTTAAAAGTAAAACATCCTTTTACACTTGTCAAAAAACAGCCACAGTGCTTTATGTTTGCGTTAGAAGTGGTTATGTGATGAAAAGAAGAGTTAGTGTAAGGACTTTTTCCTTTGCTTGATGTTACTTTGTGAATGGTAGTGAGCAGAAGAGGGTATTCAGCAGACCATCTTGACTGCTGCCATTCGTGTTGTCAGCATTCAGACTGCCCTTTGCTATGTAAAGCCTGGCATCCTTTTTCCTGCTGGCAATACAGGCATGACATTGTGCAGCAATATTGGGTCACTGATTGGCATTTTCAGTCATGGATACAGAAGCACAATATCCCACACTCATACATTGTAGATTTTTTTTTGAGAACTGAATTTTGTAATATTGAAGGGCTTCATTCTCACCACTACAAAACTTTTAGCTTTTAAAATTCTAATTAATCTTAATTTCTTATTACTTGGGAGATCAGAACAAATATGACTAAGGGGCAAGGGAAAGCTCCATGGAGAAAATAAGCTGATGATTATCACTTTCCATTTAAACCTATCTGATATATCAAAGAGGCAGTAGGGCGTCTTATAGGCAGGACTTGCCATCAATTTCTGTTAGACATTGGCAGAATCCATTTGAAAGACATGGGCACAATCTCTACACTAAACTAGTACCACTTATTAATTCTGGCCAAAACATTGCCAAGAAACTATATATCACTGCTCTAGAACAAAGGCAGGAACTAGCCGGGCTCAGAGTCAAAACTCCAGGACTTTCTGATCAGCAAGGACAATGACATCATCCTCCACCCCTTTTGGGTTTAGTTGTTCCCTCTGAGCTCAGCTGCAATCTCATAACAGCTAAAAAATAGACATTGCCCCAAGAACAGCATATTATTGCAAGCTATCCCTGGTATAAGGCAAAATATTTGATGATTTGTTTATGAAAAGGCAATTGAATGCCATTAGCTTTACAAAAGCCTCATTCGTCATTTGTTGATATAGACTGATTTAGCTGCCTATATTTCTGGACACTTTGAGGGGGGCAAGCTACAGGGGCTGTTGTGATGGAACATCACCTTCTCCCAATTTTTGTTGTTTAATCGTTAAGTCATGTCCGACTCTTTGTGACCCCATGGACCAAAGCACGCCAGGCCCTCTTTCCCTTCGCATGTTAGCAATTTGTTCTTGAGTTCCTCTGCCCCTTTGAAATCCAGCTTGTACTGCTGGGCGTTCTCGGTCCACATACTGCTGATGCCTACCTTGTAGGATTTTGAACATAATCTTGGAGCACCGTTCATTTCAGAAGGTCCTCTTGTAACTTTCCCTATCTCCCTTGCATTTTAGTCCTCTTCGTTTCTTTGCTATTTGTAAGGCCTCGTTGGACAGCCACTTTGCTTTCTAGCATTTCCTTTTCTTTGGGATGGTTTTTGTTGCTGCCTCTTTTATAATGTTACGAGCCTCCATCCATAGTTCTTCAGGCACTCTGTCCACCAAATCAAGTTTCTTAAATCTGTTCTTCACTTTCACTGTGTATTCATAAGGGATTACAGAGTGGTAGGGATACCTGACTAACCCAGTGTTTTTTCCTACTTACTTCCGTTTAAGCTTGAGTTTTTCTATAAGAAGCTGATGATCAGAGCCACAATTAATTAATTAATTAATTAATTAATTAATTAATTAATTAATTAATTAATTAATTAATTAATTAATTAATT